GTCGGAATGAACTACTTTAGAACGGAATTCATTGCCCTATAGCAAATTGAGTTCACCACTACAAATACCAAACAAACGCTAATTACAAGCATGTTCTCGATTCTCCACGACGGCATTTGTCGCCATTTTTTCTCTCTCTCTCTTTCTCTCTCTCTATGCTGTTGTTCGCAAGAATTGGTTATTATCGTTGGGTTTTTGCGAATAAATTCTTTGTGCATTAAACCGCGTTTTCACATTAAATCTTAATCGGGTTCTAACGCACCATTTTTACAATCGCAAAAAATAATTCTTCTTTGGGAATTTCAGAACACTCTCCCTCGGTCAGAAAATCCAACGAAATCATTTAAGTCACCGATATTTTTAGAATTGTTGCGCTCATTGAGACGTTGTTGACTACATAGTGCACTAGCCGGATTTTGTGTTTGACCGGACGATTTGCAGTAATAAATAGTCGTTTCACATTTTAAATAGTCTTTTGGCAAAAAAACGATGGAAAAAAATTATATATTTGTGCGCACTTTGCAACAAAATCTTTTTGGCAACGTGTGAAATGCGAAATTGCCAGCAGGACGTTGAGATAACGAACGGTCTCGCATATTTTCGATATGACTAGAATGTTATTCTGATTATTTTATTATTTCGTTCGTTTTTTTTTTTGGAACTTTGGCTCCAAAAACCGTTTCGAAATATCGTTTTTTTTTTCTCTTCTTAATAATGCAATCGAAACCGAAAGTGCCGGTTTTTCACGAGTATTAATGTCGTCATAGGAAACAACGTTGACTGGCAATCTAAAATAAACTTTTTTTTAGATAATTAAACATGTTCGTCATTTATTTTTTCGTGTTGAATTGCGCCGCGTTTTGCAAAAGCAGTCAAAAATATTGAGTTGAGTTCATTGCACACACATGTTTCTATTTATAAATTGTGCAATGCGTATGCATTCGTAGCTCCTATTCCGTCCGTTTATTCCAACGTTCTAAATATACACCATTGCCAAAAAGAAAGAGAGACGAAACTGTTTTTTTTTCTTTGTAATTTGTCAAAATGAACATAAGTAGAGAGGCGAAACAATCGAGAAAAACAAGCGCCCGAATGTCAATGCTCTTTGGAATTCGTGCGCACAACAGCACACTTCAAAAGTCCGTTAGAATTTAGTGCATTTCAGTTGGTGAAAGAAGAAAATGAAAAAGAGCAGCAATTGTGACAGCCACAAAACACGAAAAATGTAAACATCCACGCGAAATACTCATACAATATGGCAGTGTCGATTGTGCGAATATTTGCGCTGTCTTTTTTGTTCATACACTAAATGACATTATCTTATCATTTTCGGATGGTGCAATGCCTTGTTCACTTTATAATAATGATGCATTTTTTTCCCATTGCTGATTTGTCGGCAATTCGACTTAATTTTTTTTTTAATAATAAGCTATGTATGCGTGTTTGATTGTGATAAAAGCGAAAAAATCGGGTCGACCGGTCAAGCACTAGTTTGATAAAATCCAATTATAGACTGCTTTGCGCGCATTTTATTGGCTAATTTCATGCGATCACAATCGCACACAGCAAATGTTCATTCTTCCAAAATGAGTTTTAGGCAAAGAATCGATCAGCATTTTATTTAGCGCAAAACGATGATGATCATGGCAAAATTCGTGGATCACGTTTTGCATATGTACGCACACAATGGCTTCGGAAATGAATGTTAGTGAAGAGGCGTAAAACGTTTTTCGAAAATTTATTAATGCATTAAATCGCCGAAAAAAAACGGCATTAAAATCCGACATTGCCTGAACTTTTCTCATTGTAGCTTGTAGTGGTCGTCGCTCAGAAATCGTTTGCTGGTATCTGCGTGTAATTTGTTACTCGCGCTATGCATTTGTATTCAATTCTTCACGACGAATATAAAAAAAAAATTCGCCCATAAAGCCTCAACGAACGAAAAATATGAAAACGAAGAAGAAGTAAAGGAGGAGAAAAAAAAATCCACGAAACTGTCGAACAATTAATCATTTGCAGCACACAAAGAAATTGTGTGCGCTTCGATTCGGTATTCGTTGTTGCGATTGCGATCTTTCTGCACATACGCAATCGCCTCTCTCATGGACACACTAATTATTTAAAAAAAAAAGGTTAAACATTTGCTACAATGTTTCATTGAAATCGATTGGTGGACGAACTGCGAAATATTGCAATTTCGCATAGAGTTCCGCCATTTAGAGGATGCAAAAAGAGAAGAGATGAACAACAAATGTGTGTGCTCATTCATTTATCATTCCATTGTATTCCGTCAACACACACAGCACCAAAAATATCAAAGAAATCTGTTCCATCGAACCAATAAAAACCGTTTAAGTAGAAACTAAAATTGCCAACAGGAGAAGAAATTAAAAAAAAATGCAAGCAACACGCGGCTCTTAAGAAGAAATTATATGTATAAAAATTCCAATGGCCCAACAAATGACTTTGTGTAATTTTTGTGAAAGTTTTTGCGCGTAGATGCACATTTGCACAACAACATAAAACACCAATGCAACACCAGCATCAGCAGCAGACGAAAGCGCGTGATATTTGAGAAAAGAAATCTGGCCACAATTTAAGTGTATTCATCAAACTACCGAAAATGCACATTTTTTTTGTTTTCTTCTTCAAAACGACGAGAGAGAGAGAGAGAGAACCGTGTATACGAAATAAAACGAGGAATTTCGATTAAAAGGTCTTACCTTGGGTGATGCGTTTTCTCTCTCTGCTTCAATGCATAGATAACGATGAAGCGTCATGTTCGATCTTTTGCTTTGCTTGCCACATCGTCCGTATAATTATTTTATACTTTTAACATCGTTTTCTCCTTTTATAGCACACGAGAAATAAATTTCAACGCCGTAGTCCAACTCGCCAACCAAAAATTTGTATACGGATCGCTTTTTTTTCTTTCTTTAGATTTAATGAGTTCGGAGCTGCATTCATATATATATATGGGATAAACCGAAACTTGTTATGCAATTGCATACGAACTGCACGAATCGGTACTTGATATTGCGAGATGAAATGAAATTTGATAATAGCCACTTTTTGTTGGCTTTGCGCCGCGCGTGCATCTTTTGTCGGCGAACGAAAAACGAGGTTAAGCCAAAAATGAATTGAGATCCGCTTTTTTGCATCAAAATAAAAACGTATCAGGATGAACGATGAACATTCGTGAAATTTTCCATGATCTTTTTTGGCCAAAAATTTGTTTATTCATTACGCATAGAAAGAGATTTCGAACGCAATAAAAAAAGTTGTTTTCATAGACAAAACGAGCATTTTAATTGAAATAATCTGTTGGAGTGAGCTATCCTCACGAATTAGTGCTGATAAGAACAGTTCATATTTTTTGGGGAATCAAGCCATTTTTTGTGTATATAAATTTTGATACCAATGAATGTTTTTTTTTTCTTATTTTCAGCTTGATGCATCTTCAAATTAATATGCAATCATTTTCTCTGGTTCGTATATCGTTCTTGGAACTGTTGTTGTTGCGCAAAATAACATTTTCTCATGCTACTGATTAACTGAAAAGAAAGAGAATGAAAAGCACCGTATTATAACAACCAAAAAGCTTATTTTCATCGGAGTACTTTTTGGAAAGAAAAGTATCTATTTTCAAGTGAAATAGCAATTAAAAGAGTATTAAAGGTTGAAAAGGCCACAAGTGGCTTGTTTACGATCTTTGCTAGTGACTAAAATCTACTTACATACTATACCATATACTTATACAATTATGAAGCAGATAAATTGTAATATTATCGAGCATCATCAGCAGCAGCAACAGCTACAACATCAGTAGCTCATGAATTTTAAAAGTAGCCTTTGCGTGGTAGGTTTTCGGGCTATTTGCATGCGCTCTTATTTTGCCAAAAAATAAAGTCCAAGTTCTTCACATACACGGTAAGGAGCGAAGCAGGTAAATTACGTAAAAGCAATATCTGGTTTGAAGTTTATCTTAAAATACTTACAATCCAAACGATAAAAAAATTACAAGAAAAAAAAAACACGAGATCTCACCTTCTCTTCTCTTTTCTCTGCCACGCTCTTAGCACGTAATTACAATTTTTTTCCTTCTTTTTCATTCTCGTTGTGAACGCCAGCGTATACTTACTTGTTTTAACTTTGCATTTATATTGATTTATAACTAGGCCAAAAAGTCTTTTGTACATAAAGCAATGAGAGCAGTAGCTATGTGCGCTCAAAGAGATCCAGTGCCTAGCAACATCAGCCCATTATGAAGGCAACGGATAATAGTGAAATTGTGGCGGCGGCTGCTTGAAATGAAAATCGCAAATGCGCAATAATTGATGTTGTTGTTTATTTTTCCACCCGAAGAAGCGAAAAAAACACGCTTCTCTCGTCGCCTTTATTGTTTCTGACAATCGAAAGAATAGAAACGTTGAGAAAGTAAAAGAAAAATGCTTCATCCTTGAGCCTCATCTCTTTCAACGAGTAACCTTTTATTCAAATATCTTTGGATCTATACACCTATATATACACTTTCATCGTCAGCTGTGCTACATAATATATATATTTCTATTGGTGATACCGTGTTTGACTTTTTAGATTTCAAATATTTGAATTCAGGTGCGTTCAATTCAAGTAATGATAAAAAATTGAACGCAAATTATAATAATTTCGATTTTGAATTGACAAATTAAGCTATTAATTTTTCGTACTGATAAATTAAGTTATTTCTTCATCCGGTTTTTTGTGTCTATGTTTTTTTTCTGTATTTCGCAAAAAGTATATAATGTGAGTGCATCGCACATAACTTGTTTGGACAATTTTAGTATTCTAGTATAAGTTCGAAAAGCTGGTTCATTTTTTCTAATCCAATTTTTGTGTGTTAAAAATAATTTTTGTATTGGAAAAATCAGAACACAAAATGGAAGTGACCTTTACGATAAATCAACAAAAATACGCAAGTAAAGTGGCATACAATCGATATCGGTGATGAATTGGTTGAATTTTATTTTTTTGTACCATTTCTCTCTCTTTCTTATCAGTTCGACCTAGTGACGTGCCAATTGAAACCAGTTTATTGGTGTTTATTAGAAGTCATGCCAGATTGACTGGAACTAAGTTTATGTGCTTAGAAGGTGGTTGTGGTGCATGCATTGTCAATATTGCAGGTATTATCACGCCAGCCGGAGATCGTCGTACATTTGCTGTCAATTCAGTATGTTGAGATAGCGAAAAATTTCTTCGTTCAATCAATGCCCATTTAACCACTTCTAATTTCAAAATCATTTGTCCAAATATCATTTTGTAGTGTCTGTGGCCCGTATATGCATGTAATGGTTTGGGTGTTACAACCATCGAAGGAATCGGTAGTTTAAAGAATGGATATCATCCAATTCAAAAAGCCCTGTATCATTTCAATGGTACACAATGTGGCTATTGTTCGCCCGGAATGGTGATGAATATGTATAGTTTGTTAGAAGCGAATAATGGTGAAGTAACGATGCAACAGGTGGAAAATTCATTTGATGGTAACATTTGTCGTTGCACCGGCTATCGACCCATTTTAGATGCATTCAAATCATTTGCAAGAGATTCATACACTTCGGATATTGAGGATTTAGCTCTGAATTTGTGTCGTATGAAAAAAGATCGAAAATGTTCGACCGAGGAGAGATGCTATCAAAAGTGTCGTATTTATAAAAATATTCCATTAGAAATTGCGTCAAATGATGGAAAAGAATGGATAAAACCGGTTAATTTGTTGCAGCTAATCAAGATTTTCACAACAAAAACCATGCATAAAGAATATATGTTGGTGGCTGGTAATACTGCACATGGTAATTTTTTTCAAAACTCGACTATTTTTGCAAAGAAAATGTGAAGAGGATTTAATTTTTTATTCAAGGTGTGTATCGACGTTCAGAAAATATAAAAATTTTCATCGATACCAGAGCAATTGCAGAGCTTCACATAATCAAAGCTGATGAATCGTCACTTACGTTTGGGGGTAATGTATCGCTCACCGAATTGATGGAAACACTTGAACGGGTGGCCAAAGAGTGTGACAATTATGCATATGGAACTGAATTAGCCAAACATATCGATCTTGTTGCAACTGTTCCTGTTCGAAATGTCAATATTTTTCTATTTTTCAATAGATTTTTCGAAATTATTCAGTCGAATTGAGTAAAGAGGTGTGTATTTATTCAATCTTTCTAGGCCGGAACTATTGCTGGAAATTTGAGTATAAAGCACACTCACCGCGAATTCCCATCGGATATATTTTTACTTCTAGAAACGATCGGAGCTCAACTGAAAATCGCCTCAATTGATGGTTTAGTGCAGACATATTCGCTACAAGAGTATTTGTTTTTGGACATGTCACAAAAAGTGATTTTAAGCATTGTTTTTCCGAAACTGCCGACGAATCAATTCGCATTTCGTTCGTATAAAATTATGCCTCGGGCTCAAAATGCACATGCAATGGTGAATGCAGCATTCCTCTTCGAATTCAGTTCGAATGATGGAGCAACGACGGTAAAATCTTGTCGCATTTGTTATGGTGGTATCAATCCACAATTCATACACGCCGAAGCAACGGAACAACTCCTGACGGGAATTGATGATTTTTACACGGATGATGCCTTGCAAAAGGCGATCAAATCTCTGCAAACTGAAATCGAACCGGATTCAATTTTGCCCGACCCGGCGGCAGATTATCGAAAAAATTTAGCGATTGCGTTATTTTATCGTTTCTTCTTGAATACAGCTCCAGAAGATAGAATAAAAAGCGAATATATAAGTGGTCGTGTGGGATTGGAACGACCGTTGTCATCAGGCATTCAAACTTATGAATCCGATGAAAAATTGTATCCTCTAACACAACCACTCACAAAATACGAAGGTCTTATTCAATGTTCGGGTGAAGCTGAATACATAAATGATATGTTTAGTAGTTTAACGGTGGACCAAGAATTGTGGGCGGCTTTTGTTCCAGCCATCGAAGTTAATTCGAAAATTGTTTCAATTGATGCTTCCAATGCATTGGTATATTGTACCCAACATTCGTTCTTTCCACTGTTAGTTCGATTTTTAATATTCTCTTTTAGAAAATACCTGGCGTAGCTGCGTTTTTCTCGGCCAGAGATATTCCCGGTGAAAATTCGTTTATGCCTGTTAACTGTGGAATCCTCTTTGTCGTCGAAATGGAGCCCATTTTTCTAGCAATTGATGCACAAGTTCAATTTTATGGACAACCATGTGGTTTGATTGTGGCCAAAACCATGGCCATAGCCAATTCAGCAGCAACAAAAGTTGAAATAACATACGAGAAAACACAGGTGGATCGGCCAATTATTCCGTCTTTACGGCATTGGCGGCAGACAAGCAAAGAATTAAATGTGTGCAAAAATGTATCGGAATTTCGGATTCCTCCAAATCAACCGTTAGCGATGCCGTTGGTTGGACAAGAAATCAAAATCAAGGGTAAAATTTGCATTTTTCGCCGAATTCCGTGGAATTCCAACCAAATGGATTTCAATTAATTTGTAGGTGATTTTGAGATTGGTTCACAATTTCACATGTCTATGGAGCCGCAAACGGTATTTTGTACACCGAACGATGATGGCGGTATAAATTTGCAGGTTTCAACACAATGGTTGGATCTGAGTCATGTAGCAGTCGCACAATGCTTAAAATTGCCACAAAGTAAAATTATTGCATCGTTCAAACGAGTTGGAGGTGGTTACGGTGCAAAACTATCACGTCCATCTCATATTGCTTGTGCTTGTGCATTAGGTATTGATAAGGTTCTAAATAATTTTCAATTTTTCTAATGTCTAATAGCTTTTTGTCACTAGCTTGTCATTTGCTGCGGATGCCAGTTCGATTTGTCATGAATGTCGAATCAAATATGACGGTTATAGGTAAACGTTATGGCTGTGCCACCGAATATGATGCAACTGTTGATTCAGCTACAGGCCGTTTGATTGATTTGCCATCTTTAATTATTACGAGCGATTTTGGTTGTTCGTTGAACGATGACACAACGAAAAAAATGACCCACTGCTTGGAATCGGCATGCTACGCACATGCAAACGAATGGAAAGTAGAAGTAAGTCGTCTACTTACGGACGCACCATCGGCTATACCAGCACGGGCTCCCGGTTCAACAGAAGGTTTTCCCGTTTGCAATCATTCGACATGTTCTAAACAGTAAACAAACTAATTCATCATTTAGGAACAGCAATTGTTGAAAATCTCATAGAACACATTGCTAGTGAGATCAACATGGATCCGGCTCAAGTGCGCATAAATAATTTCCATACTGATGGTCCACTAGTCAAATTTTTTCCAGAATTTTTAAAAGATATTGGTAAATAATCGAACACAATTACCTAGCCTTAACAATTTGCCATTCAATTTCCACATAGGATTCATTTTTTGCCTATACAATCTATTACTCATTTGTTTTTAAAAGATTACTTCGATCGCCGTGCCGAAATAAATGAGTTCAATAAGCAAAATCGTTGGCGTAAAAGAGGAATTGGTGTATCGATCATGACATTTTCGGCCGTTTATACGGCTTCATTATGTGCATATATTGCCATTTATCATGGCGACGGAACGGTTGCAATTAGCCATGGTGGTATTGAAATTGGTCAAGGCATTAATACTAAAGTAGCTCAAGTGGTTGCTCATATTTTTGGTATACCATTGGATATGATCACAGTTACAGCGCACAGTTCAATTATATCGGCCAATCGAACAAGAACTGGAAGTACGATAACAAGCGAATCGGTGTGCATGGCTGCAAAAATGGCATGTGATCGCATTTTAGTACGTTTAAAACCCATTCAAGATGAAAAACCAAACGCAACATGGTTAGAAATTATTCATGAAGCCTATGCACAGTCGATTGAATTAACGGAGAAGCAAGCCTTTGAATCGCGCAATGCAAAAAGTTACAATATTATTGGTTGTGCTAGTGTCGAACTGGAGCTGGATGTTTTGACCGGTAATTTACAAATACTTCGGGCTGATATTCATGAAGACACTGGCAAAAGTATGAACCCATTGGTTGATGTTGGTCAAATCGAAGGTAAAACCAGATAATGTCCATGTATGAGTAACAATTACTTATAAAATTGAAACAAATATACTATTAGGTGCATTCATTATGGGTATCGGCTATTGGTTAACCGAGAAACTGGATTACGATAAGCGTACAGGTGAATTAGTGACCAATCGAATGTGGACGTATAAAGTTCCTGGCGCCAAAGACATTCCAATTGATTTCCGCATAAAATTTTTACAAAATATCAACAATGAAGGCATTTTCAGTTCAAAGGCTACCGGCGAACCATCATTGACATTATCAGTGGTTGCGATATTCGCATTGCGTCATGCCATTGATGCAATTCTTGAAGACAATGGAAAAACTAAAAAGTGGTATCGATTGGGTGTGATACAATTTTTTCTAAGTTCCGATTCTTTCCAAACATTCAATAGCTTTGTGATGTTTTTCAAATGCATTTTTTCGTTAGGTTCAGCAAATACACCGGACATAATCTTCAGTGCAGCAGAGGTTGATGTTGACGACTTTAAATTATGCTGATATATTGATTTGAGAATGTTGCTTAATTTAGATGGATGGGGGAGGATACTCAGAATTTTGGGAATTAAAAAAAGTAATCTGTGTAATAAATGTCTCTGTCTACAAAAAATGAAGCCATAAGTGTTTTTCGTTTTGAATGGGTTCTATGCAAAATGAGATCCAATGCGTAGCAACATAAGCTTATTATCATGCCGGATAATAGTGAAATTGTGGCGGCGGCTGCTTGAAATGAAAGACGAAAATGCGCAATAATTGTTGCTGTTTATTTTCCCACCTAGGTAAAAAAAAACCTTTTCCCACGAAGTCTTTGTTGTTATTGACAATTGAAAGAATAGAAATGTTGCGAAAGTAAAACAAAAATGCCTTTACCTTGAGACTCGTCTCTTTCAACGAGTTGTCTTTTATTTTTTGGTATATAATATATTGTACATTTTCATCATTACTTTGGCCCCATAATATTTGATCTTACATTGAATTTATATTCATGAAATAAGAACGTCTGACACATCTTAGTGTGTAATGTCTTTGATATTGGAGCTGTCCATCATGGTTTGTGATGTGTTTGTTGGGGCCGTCGAGATGAAAAAGCCATACACTCAGTGCCAAAGGTGTCTGCCGTCTGTAGCCCGATCGTTCGCTATTGATTTATTAATTTTAAATGGTTTTACCTTCAAATATGCTTACCATACCATGTACAATGTAAGTGGTTTGACAAGTAAATATTGCCGGCTCAACCTGTGAATATGAAAGATGTCATTTTTTCGCCGTTGTTTTATTTGAGATATTATTTTTCTCTGTGTTTTCTTGGGTGCTTTTATACGTCGATTTGGTGCACACAAACACATTCACACATACATAAGGCGGCGTTCGACTTTGCTAGACAGCACGTTCCGTTCTCACACCCAGCTGAACTGATTTCATCATCATCATCATCATCTCAACACCACCACCATCATCGCCACCGACATTTCAATTCACGCGACTGTGTTTCAAATTCACATCAAGGTCAAAATTTCGGGCTAAAGAAAGAAAAACCATCCTCGTCAAATGTCTATGTGATTATTATGAGAAATTCAAGCGACGTTTTTTTTTGCTCTATACCGTTTTTCACCCTGCACCACCACCTGTGCTCATTCGATTTATTTTATAAGCTAAAAAACGAGATTGAATGTGAGCCTGTTACCGAGATAGATACTATGTATGAATACGCCGTTGTACATTTCTATAGCCAATGGGACGCGGATTTCCTGTGTGAAAAAGCAAAGAAAAAATTTTGCTGGTGCGATTTTTATTTGAGACATCTGTTGAATGTGTATTTCACATTCATTCCTTGGATATGGATGTCGCCGTAGTCGTCCTTGTCCTCATCGTTGTTTGGAGGATGAGAATGAGTGTGGCGTTCGCTTGTTTTGACTTTCACTTGAAGTTCGACGGGGGTGACGCGCGCTCCGTTTTTCTGCTATCACAGCACAACAAATAATCATAAAAATTCTGGTAATGGTTGTTGCCGTCGTTTGACGTCTATCAAACAATGTGCTCGTATTTTCCCCCCCCCCCCCCCCGTAAATCCTTAACCAGCCTCAATAAAGACACATTTGCAACGCATTTTTTGTCCGTCCTCTCTCACTCACTCACTCATACTCACACTAACACTCGATTATATCACTGTCAATGGCAAAATGGAATTCACATCAAATGCCGCAAAAACAAGACCGCCGCCCCGTTTGTATTCTGGATCGGTTTTGCGTGCATTAAACAATCCGTCACCATCACCATTCTCATAAATGACAAAACTCCCGAATTGAAAAAAAATTCCGAATCAAATTTTTGAAAAAGAGAGACAGTTGCAAAGACATTTTTCCACCCAACGACTAATTATACGGATGTGGAAAAATTGCTATTTGAATAAAGAAAGACGACAACGGTAGCGGTGGTGGTAGCGACGGCGGCGACCACGTCGCGATTAAGTAATTCAAGAAAGCGATTGTTTCACCACTTTTTGTTACACCATTCTCTCTTCGTAATTTTCGTGACAAACACAATTTCTGCGACACCAGAACGACCCAGATCTAAGAATATTGCGTTCCGATTTCTCGTCATTGTTCATCATGTTTTTCTTGCGGATTTTATAGTCACTTTTTTTTCTCGCCCAATGTCAAATTATTTATTGTGTGCCCGCCTTCTCGCCGATACATCCAAAATAGCCCAAATCGACCAGAGAAAAATTGATTCATTTGAGATGTTTTGTTGGTGTATTTTGGCAACTTTTTCCGTTCAAGTTTCGCATCTGATTTAGACATTGCGTTGGATGGCATTTTTGTTGGTGCAGACGCAATTCTTGAAATCTTTGAATAGCACGCCATTCAAACGAATAGCCGAAAGAAAAACGATTCTATTTTAAATATCGCCCTAAAGACTTGCTTTCTTCTTGGCGTTTTTCTTTTCCTTTTTTCTGTTGTGCAGCATATTTCTGGTTCAAAAAGTCAAGCGCAATTGAAGAGATCTTTAAATTGGAATCAAATGGTGAACTTAATCTCAAAATCGATTGGAATAAACGTTCATTTGAGTGAACCTTTGAAAATTATCCATTTCAGAGACGTCAATTGAAATCATCAGTTTGATTCGAGTCGAATCCTGTTTTGAATATAAATTCGCATGCCAGGCAAAAGCGAAACTTTCTTCTGTCGACATTTCAGCATAAACTTAGCGATCGGTTTTTTGTTATCGTTGCAATCATTAGCCCAAATAGTCTCATTTTGGCAATTTTCAACGTTGACGCATTCTCTTTTCTCTCTTTTTAGACGTAATTGAAATCCGTTGAAACACCGATGGCCTGTTATTACTTTAAATGACGCATCAAATGCAATTGCGAAAACAAAGGTTTTCTTTTCTTCGTTTCGGTCGGAGTTTTTGTCGAAAACTTTCACCGCATTTTGATGGTGCACCTTAAATCTGTTTCTCTTCGTCGTTTGCTTTGTGTATAATTTTTTTCTTTCGGAAATGTTTCACACAAATTTCAGACACGAACGAACAATTCCAGAGTAACACACAGACGGAGAGATACATAGCATTTAATGGTTTGTACTGCACAGATTTATATATAGAATGAAAAATTAAATCGGCGAATCGGTTGGTTGCACAGGGCCAAACAATTCAATAAAACAGTAAAAATCGAATCCATTTTCGAAGTCTTTGTCAATAACGTAGTCAGTTTGCTCTTTGCCATTCAGCTTTCATCTTAGATTATATAAATGGCCATAAAAATCTGTAATCAACGGCATGCACCGTAGTGTGCTCGCTACTCTCCGGCGAATAAATATCTCGAATAAAAAGAATGAAAATGCCTAAAAATGGTATTTAGTCGCAGACGAAGAGAGAAAAATGTGTGATTATTGTTATTACTGCTTATTTATCGCATTTTAAGCGTCGTTTTTCGTTACTTTGTTTGTAATATTCTGGTTTGCCAATTTTCGTGTGTGCCAATTTTCGAATCGATGAAACGAAGTGCATGCGGATCTTTATTAAATGCGCCCAAGAAAACGATGCGAGGAGAGCGAACGAAAGAAAAAAAAACCGTGTGTGCTAAAAATCTGTTGCATTCAAATGATTGGGCCGATAAAAGTGGTTTTTCTTGTGTTCAATTTCATATTGAGAGAGTTTTCTACGGGCTGGCCAGTGTAATAAATAAATTCATTTGTTTGCATATCACCCATTTCGGGTCTCTGAAGGGCCACTTTTTTGTTGCTGTTGTTCCAACGTCGTCGTCGCCTTTGTCGTGTTTTCTTTGTTTCGCGTTTTTCTTGCCTGTTTTATGGCCGAATATATATAAATTATGGAACTGAATAATTCATGTATCAAAGTGAAATTGACTTGAAACTGGTTGCGGCCAAATGAAGGCTTGATTAGCGATATTTCTCTCTTTTCTTCCATCTGTTCTTCTTCTTTCTTCTGCTTGCTGTATAATGAATGCTATGGTTCATCATCCGATCGACGGAGAGAGATGGTGTGGTACATGCGCTTTCGTTCGTTCGTTAATACAAAACAAATGAATTTACCGTTAGTTTTACATTCGTTGCAATCCACAAAAGGAGTAAATGCATTGGCGAAACAGATACAGAAAATGGAAAAAGCGATTTTTTTTCTTCATCTCTTCTGCGGTTCGTCGCCTGCAGCTTAAACAACGTGAACGAAAAAAAGCAGTCAAACCACTTGCCCGAATTGAGTTTGCCGATTTTCGACGAAATTTCAAGAAAGATGCAGATTTAATCGGAAATTATTGAAAAATAGAAATGTGATTTGCACGTCTTTTTTTCTCGTCACCACCAGCAAAAGCAGCAACAGCAGGCAGAGGCAGTGACGGCAACTAAATAAATTGGCGACAATTCAATTAACATAACCGTAGAAATTGGTATTTCAATGCTGTGCACAACGAAGTCGCGCTGGTTGGTTTTGCCGTCGGCTTGACAATTTTAACGGGACGTGATTTTTGGCTCAAATGAGCATCAATTTATCTTATTGTTGAATGATTCATTCCCATTTTTGGCTTTTAATTTGTTTTTAGTTGAGATTGAACTCGACTCTACACACACACACTAGTTCCGTTATATTGCGAAGCACACAATACCGCACTTGTTGATCAAAACGCCAAACCCATCGAATCGCACAAAAGCCGTACAACTTTTCGGCATGATTTACCAAAAAACCAATTAAACCGCATAAAAGCCCACAATAAATATTTTCCTATGTGGTGTCTCTCTGTGTGACGCGCGCGCGCGCGCGTTCTCTACACGAGAATGGAAGGAAGCACAACTTTAGCGATACGGCATAGTATTTATTAGACACTCTCACTCTCTCACACATTCTTCTCTATGTGGGATTGGAGTTTGTTTAGTTTGTGTGTTACCCATTTCAGCTGGTGTGCTAGATGGATGGATTTTAAATGCTCGAATTGAAATTCGGTTAGAGCAAAAGAGAGACCGCCTCTTTACATTCTTAGCGCGCGCGCTCACACACAAGAAAACCGCATCACATGAAACTATTGCCACATTGGGAGAGCGAGAAGGAGTGAGTGAGTGAGCATCGTGTGCATGGCACCGTTGGCATATCATCAATCCGACCATTTCACATACTCTGTCTCTCTTTCGCTCGAACACGAAGGCAGGAAGAATGGAAAACATTTTCACATTTACAATAAATTTAATATTCCATTTAGGAAATTCGGTTCCGCACATAATTTATCGTTAGCAACTGTATATGTATATGCGGCTGCGATGCTGCCACAAACATGGGCACTCATCACAAACATATTTCGGTGGTGTGTAGTGTACGTATATATATATATATAATTTTCACTCTTCAGTTGAAACGGAACAGATAACGTAGTCATTTTCCACGTGTGTACCATTAGATAAATTCTCTGAAGTACCGTTCCATCCGTACACACAACGAAATAGATGCCGTCGTTACGCGAGAAAGTATTTATCGTGACAGTAACGGGGTGGAATGGGGAGGTGAAAAACGAAAGGAAATTCTTGCTCTCTTAGTTTTTAAATTTGCACACTCTATTCCAAGCAATAAAGCACACATCTACACAAACAAAACAACACCAACACGAACACGTACACACCAAAAACACGGCACACATCCTCTCTCTATTATTCGAGTCTTTAAACTTATTAAGTGCTATAATTCAAAACTAACGCCTTTTTGCGCCAAGTAACTGGTTTTACATTTTAGCACCTTTTATGTGTTAACATGAAAACTTTGCTCTCCCGCGGCGTTTAATGAATAGGCTGGGAACATGTCATTTCAACGGCGAAAAATCGTTGTTCGCCTATTAAGGAAGCCTCTTTAACGTTCGTCGAGTTCTTAATAATTAATTTTGACGAAAATGAGTCAAAGTGCATTTTTTTTGTTTAATACAAAAAAAAGCCCAACAAGCCGTTGTATCATCGCTTTAGCCCATATCTCGTTTGCATTACGGAAGAAATCAAATTATAACCGTATTTGCATGTCATAATCAGATCATTGACACCACAGAATGGCACAGACAAGCTGAAGGCAAAAAAATATTTCTCACACAAACAAAAAGAACCAGACGAGAAACGATTGCGTCCCATTTAAAACTCACGCTTCCTTCAGACACAAAGCACACAATACACAACGGTCCATATTCAAAGAAGCCACATACGCACACAACATTGTGCTGTGGAATGGTGTGGTTATTACGCGTGAAAACTGGATGACTTTATCAACGTTAGAAGCATTGGTAAATGCACAAGAAAAGGACTTGTATTATGTAAGCAAATAATCTATTCAATCTCCTTTGGAATGGTCGCATTGATGGTGTGTAATGGGAACAGCGTGTTGTGTGTGTGTGTGTTTTGTGTATACTTTTCGCTGTGCTGTCGAAATGGCAGACAAAACATATGTTTTGTGTCGGTGGGTCGTTTGTCTTCTTTCATTTACAGTTCAAATAAATTCACACATCCGACGAACGGGAGATATGATATTCCACAGGCACCGAACCGAATCGAGCAGCCAACCAAGCAACCAACGCACAAAGACCATTCATTGAGACGCGATGAAGGCCTAAATCCTTGCGGCTATACTCGCTTGTATATAGATGCTCCATTATCAGCTTATAAATGCGAACACTCTCTCATCTCATTCATTCACACACAAACAAACACACAACAAAAACCGTCGAACGACGATGAAGACAACAACGAGGACGACGACGACGACTGCGACGATGATGATGTTGAATGCGACGAATGGTTTGACCTCCAAGGAAAAACATAAGTATGTAACATAAGGCAAGTGGCCGGCATTTTTCCGAAACCCTTGTCACGTACACACAACCAACGAGCTCGTAAACATATTCAATGTCGTATACAAATAAGAGCTTTCCCAAACAGATTACGTCTCGGCATCGATATAATAATTTCCATTTTGGTTGTCGTTTCGGGTTTGCCGACACACATTTTCCAAGCACACACTTTTCAACCCGATTCTTTCTCACACACAGAAAACAAACACATATCCTTATATCGATAACAATCCAAGCCGGGAGAATTGTGTCTATTTTTCACCACACTTCGATGTTTCACAAGCAATTCACTTTACACCGGAGTTTAGCACTCGTAACCTCGTTTTCGCATTCTGACTGAGAAAAAAAATTCTGTACCGACAATTTTCATGTGCATTTTTCCCTTCTTGCAAAGGAACAAGACGAGAAAAAAAGAATAACATACACACAATCGACTTTCACTTTCGGTTGCCTTTCTTTCTCATACATACACACAGAATTATCTTAAGACTGACTACGATACGCTCTCTATCGCCGCCACCCTCGGCGAAGTCATTTCAACTTTTATATATATATAGAGAGAGAGAGAGAGTGACATGAAAAAACCACCGTCTTTGATTTCGTTGTCGACGCCACCACCGTTGTCCTTATGTATATTTCGCAGCTTCAATATTGACTTTAGGTACGCGCATCAACGATACACATGCAATCTGGTTGCAAAATCACCACTTTCTATGTAGCACATTTTATATAAAAAGTTAGCGATTTTTTTTTTTCGTCTGCACTTTTTTTCAATCTCTCTCCCTCTCCCCTTCACTCACTCTCCTCACAGCTTACGGTTTTTATTGAGAACACTTTGGCCGCTTGATGCAACTGGAACGAGTAAAAAAAAATCCACCAGACTTTCACGAACACTTCACCAAGCAAGCATAGAGTAAACGCTTTTTCATTCACAAAACATTGTCTGTTGATTCAATTTCTTTTTTTTCGCTTGCTCGCTCACTTTTTGCATTTAAACATAATGGCACATTGCACTCATTTCACAGCTACCGCCAACACACCGGAAAGCAAACGCGCGCGCTTATCTCTTATGAACGTCGTCGACGCAAAATTGTTGCTACTTTTGCTCCACATTTCAAGTTCAGACCATGTATAACCATTTTTCTTCGCAGATTTTTTTCTCTTCTGCACCAAGTAAAAGTGCAACAGAAGACTTTACTTTTTTTTTCTTCACGCATACGAATTTTTCACTTCGTAAGGGGGCGATTTATGTATCTGCTTTGATTGGAAAAACACTTCACGTTCTCATAAGGATTTTTTTTGTTCACTCTGGAATCCGGCTCCAAATCATCTCATGAATTTTGCCAGCACATATTTTTCTTTTTATTTTCAAGTGCAAGAGTTTTCACAGGAAATTGGTCGGTTTTTTTTTACATAAAGAACATTCACATGTTGCACACAAGAAATGCGACCACCTTGACCTATCCAATGGTCGGTCGGTCGTTCTGTATGTTTACATAGCATGAGTTTCCTTTTTGGTTGAATATAATTTTTTGTTCTGCTTCTTTCCTCTTTTTGCCACAAGGAAAGCGAACCAAACCAGCACTTGAGTATATAAAAACGTTAGCTTTATATAATATAAATAGCCAGAGCGAAAAAGGACAACGCACGTTTAACGACGTTTGGTATTATATTTCACGTGACGAGAGACAGACTCTTATGTACGGGCTACACATATCTCGGTGAAAAATTATTATATAAGACAAATGGCACAAATTCGATGCAGATGCCGATGATTTGTTTTTTTTTCTCTTCTTTTTTCGAGGAAATGGGAAGTCTGGTTTGCTCGGAGGTAGATGCCCGATAAATATCTTGGTGTTGAATCCATTTCAAATGAATTTGTTTTTCGAACAACTCAACTTTTCCACAGAAATGCCATCTTTGACATTTTCGATGAAGAAAAACTTTTTTTTTCGTCTTTTAAAAATAAATATTCGGATAAATTTTGTGGTTATATCAACCGAACAATCTTTTTTCACCGAAAAATTTCCTAAATCTTAGAAAAAAATCACTTTCCCGTCGGAACAGCCGCGTTAATAGAAAAAAATAACACTTGAGCGAATAAAGTGAGCTGAGAAAGCGAATTGAAAGTTGCTGCGCAAACGATTTATACCACTCAACTGAGACGGTCTAAGCTAACTGTTGAATATTTTATAGTTTGAATATTGTTCAATACAATTGCAAATGTGCAACTACGGTTGCAACCATAGATACGAGACACACGAGAGCGAGAGATGTTCTGACTAGTTGGGAATAACATGCATTGGCCCCTCAATTGTGTTGGTGTGTATGAGCGGAAAAACAAGAAAACCGTCCGAAGTAAAAACTAAGCACAGCAAAATACTAGTTGAACGTTGATTGTTGATTGTTGACTGTGGTAATGGTATGAGTAGAGGTACGATCGGTTTGAATACACAGGGTATTTGCGTGTATTGTAGCTATAATTGTGCCTAGAACATGGTCGATAGAAAGAGAGGAGAAGAGAAAATAATCGCAACTGTGACGGCAACTTTTATTGCACTATTGAAGTGAGCGCACGCTGCTGACTGAGTTTGTGAGATGCATGTAAAACACACATTGCACCAAGTGCATCGACGCCCGGCTCATCAGTTATCTCAATGTTTTTTTACTATTTTCTGGTTGGCTTTTTCACCGAGTAGAACTGTGTGTGTTGCATGTGCCACACTATTATTAGCAAGTATCATTCCTGTCTGCATCGGGCGAGCGAGGCGTCAGTGTGAATTGGATTGTTTTCGCTTTTGTACGTGTTCATTTCGCATTGCATTGCATTCTTGGTGTGTATGGTATGCGATTTGTTTATCAGTGTGGCTAAAAAACCGCCGCCGTCATCACCACAAACGAGCAACAGGATTTTCATTCAGCACACATGAGAGCCATGACGGTTTGAGTCAGATACAAAAGTGCAGAGCATTCTCAACTCGCAGACGATATATACCGTCGACAAATATACGATTTTTATTGACACTCGGTCTCACTTTGTTTCTCTCTCTCTCTCTCTCTATCTCGCTTGTAGAGAGTGCATCATCAGTGTGAGAGCTTGCAACATTCCAACCATTTATGTTCTCTCGTTTGTTCATTGAAAAGTGCTTTTTTGCCTTTTTGAACTACAGGAAAATAAACAGAAAGCGACCGTTGTGAGACTAGAGGCAGCATGTGGCGTTCACACTCTCACACACACAAACAAACCAACTGAAAAAAAACGAACGACCGTCAGATGAGTCAGTCAGTCTCTATTCCGTTGTTTGCTAGCTCAAACACTATTTTGTCCAAGTTTATTGGAGCAACGACTATGATGACGTGATATGGCGAATGAATCGAATGAATCAAATGAATGAAAATTGCACTTACGTTTTCATATGATTCTATAGCACGGCGTATCGTACAATCGCAATTGCCCTATCTGGGCTCTGACTTTTTGCATGCTCGCATCTCATTCTCTCCCGTACTCGCTCTGCCGATATGAACATTGCATACACAACGCAGTGAGGCGACAATATAAAATTGAATGCAGCCGTAAGTGCAATGGATTTTTTCAATGCCATCGCATTTTTATAGTCGTCTGACGTTTTCGCTCGCTCGCTCACTGGCTACCACTGCGAGTTTGTATGCTTTTTAACTCATTTTTCTTCGGATTTTGCTGTTGCTGCTGCTGCTGCTGCTGTGTGTCTTTTTTATACGTATATTCATTTCATTCATTTGTGGCACTGTGTTTCATTATGCATAAATTGTTGCCTGTTGATATTACCGCTACTATTACCCACTTTTGTGTAGTTGTTTTTATTTTCTTCAGCAGTTCTGCTGCTGCTGCTGCTGTTGCTGTGTGTATGTGTTTTTTGCGTAATGTGTACTGTTATTATTTGCACTTGCACTTTTTTCCCTCTGGACACGTACCATTGTTTATGTGCGATAAAACGACGTTTTGCACGGTCTGATTGTGCTCAAGCGGCTTTTTTTTACACCTTCTGTTCCGTTCTGTTGGGCCTGCGTTTTTTTATCCACATAGAAAATGGGCTGCAGACGCGTTTTTATTCTCTAGCCAACGCATAGACATGGTGCACAGATGCGCCCATATCATCTGTTTCAAATTCTCGTGTTTTTTTTTTCTGTTCTCGCAGCATTTTCCAATCGTTTGAATTTGATGAATGAATGAATTTCATACGCACATGGCTTTTTCCTTCTGCATTTTCATAGTCAAAATTTGATCAATGGAACCGTGCAACTTGAATGTAAGTGTTTTTCTATTAAAAACAATAACAATGTAAATTCCTATCGCCCTCTTACAGCGATTCTCGTTTTGACATTTAAACAACGTAGAATATTGAAAGTTTGACAGTTCGTGATATTCGTTTGACTGCTATGAAAAAACTGCTATTGTGTGTCGCTACTTTCAAGGCATCATTGATGCTCAAAACTCACGAATGGAACGCCAAAAAGACGCATTATGAGTCTTAATGATGAAATAAAACCTTCAACAACAATCAAAACACATTAAAAATAAAACATTTCACTGGATACAAATGATTCTTGAGTGGTATTTAAATTGAAGATCAAATTATCGTTTCGATAGCAAGTAGCAAAATCAAACCTACGCATAAAATGCGAATATTGATATTTTTTAGAAGCGCGTGCATTGATTAAAATGGGCTCAACAATGCTAAGAACATCAGCACACATTGAATTGCGTTGTGCTGTATTTTTCATGAAATTATTCATTGCCGTCGTTACCAGTGTGCGCCTCCGAATTCGGTGTGGTTATATAATGAAGTCGTTTAAATTCGCATGTCTCGTTTCATTTTATTAATTTCATTCCTTTTATTTTATTTTTAGTGTATTCAGAAAGAAAAAAACTTCATTGATTGCATAATCCTCGCTTGAAGTATGACTTGAGTATATTTATGCACACACTTACACACGATATCAGTGTGCAACAGAAACAGCAGCAGCAGCAGCAAAAAAAACATGAGCAAGAATAAATAAATGAAAATTTAAGCCACAAGAACGGCAACCAGAGGTGGCAATAAGGCGAGAAAACACAATTTAATACACGACATCGTCATCGGTCGACTTCGAAGTAATTGAGTGACCTTGAAAAGGTTGAGCGAGTGAGACAAGGAATATGCATAACGTCGCATGCATTTCCAATGAATTCCATTCCTTTCTCGGTCTCTCTCTCTCCCTCGCTTGTATGCGCTCACTCGATCACGCATCGATACCATTGCTGGTGTTTGTTTTGTATCTGCGTATATGTGAATAAGTGAATATGAATTCACTTTGTTTTCTTCAATTAATGTTGTTTTTGTGATTTTTTTTAACCCATTCTTTTTTAAATTGTGCGCCGCGTTCAACACGTTAAATTACGGCAAGCAACAACAAAGGCTGAGCAAAAGAAATAACAATAATATGGCTCGAAATGATAATGTGGGTAAATTCATTTTCATGTGATTCGTTTATCGATTCAACAGTCCACACACACTGTGTGTGAAACGCCAAATTCGCATACGCACTTGCATACTCATTCTCGAAATGATTGTGGTTGGCAAAAAGAAGACGAGAACAAAAAAACGAATTAAAAAGAGACATCCGTCTGCTCATTATTTGTTTTCTTCATCAGAGAAAGAGAAAAATGAATGCGGTCAGTGGCTGTGTGTGGCAGAACCAGCGACGGCAGCAGCAGTAGCAGCAGCGGTCACAAAATGACAAGAACGATAACTGTAGATTCTCACCCGAAAATTTCATAATATATTGTCAACAGCGTGTGACGCGTCTCAATCACATGTCGAGGAGCAAAGAACTCATTGTGCGGAATTTATTCCGTCGGTAATCCGTTGAAAACAAAAGGGCGCGCGCGATTTCGTCATTTAATTTTCATGTTTATTTCTTTTATACATCATTTTT